CCACAGCACTGAACACACTGCCCCGTTTACCATGGAGCGTACTACCCTCACCTGGAACACATCATCGTGAACACCGGATCGAAAGCGAAGCGCGACGTCGACGGACGGGCAGCTGGTTCAAGGGAAATCGGACTCCGGAGATGGATGGCCGCTGACTGGGCTGATGACGCCTGGATGATTTTGCACCGACTTGTTGCTAGAAGTAACATTGTATTGAGCTATCCATGATTTCTTGGTTTGAGGTTCGATTATATATTCATTGCGGTCAATGTAGATTCACGTGGGTTTCCAACATGACGACACACGACTGCACTACTCTGACTAACACAAACTTACCCCACCGGCGCTTTCGGTTACTGCACCTCCATCCGCTCGTCCACCAGGCTGGGGAACACTCAGTTGAATCCAATAAATATATATAGAACACCACAACTACATATGTCCCTACTCCTTTCCAACAAATTATATCCTGGCAAACCTTAGAACAACACAGAAACTAAGAAAACAGGAAGATGGTGCAACACAGATAGGGTTTGTGTACATGGCATGTAGAACACCAGAGCCTCACTGCTACTCCAATAAATTATGTACCAGCAGCTCTGACAGCAAGACAGAAACGAAAGAGAGAACAAGTCCATGCTGTAACACAGTTAGGCTGGAATCAAAGAAGGCTTTATCTCATCCTCCTCCTCAACCATCACAGTGTCTGGACGAGTCTTCAGTGCATTGAGAGCTAAGAGTTGAACCATGGGCTCAGCATGGTCTTTTGATATATTTCTCACTCTAGCAAGTCGCTCATCAATATAGCCAACTTGCTTCACCTGTGAAGATCGTTCGAACAAGGGTCTTGCTGTGTTCCAAAACTCTCCTGCCTTCGAGAGGTCCTCATTCACTTCTGCAATATCTCCAAGTCGAAGCATACATTCTGCTCTGCTGTGATGTACATCCATCTTTGTGAATCCCTCAAGAGCAACAGTAAACAGACTGGTTGCTGTCTGCTGGTCATGATCTGCCAGATAAACATCTCCGAGGAATTGGAGAGCTTTGTGTATTTCCAGCTTCCGCTTCAACTTGATGCTATGAACAAGAAATGTCACTGTCCGGCTGGATGAAGCATGATCTATAGCATGCCAGAGAGAGGCATTCCCCAGTTTCTCCAAACAGTAACTGACACCCTCGAGGTGTTTTCCCCACATAGATTTCAAGCATGTTTGAAATAGACTTTTTGCCTTCAGTAGGTCCCGCTCATTCACATAAACGGCTGCTGTGATCATATCACACAAAGAAGGTCCTGTTGGATACTCCATGCTGCTGAAGAGCTGTTTGGCTGTATCAATATTTCTGTGCACTCTATCCCTCAATGAAGTGATTTCCATTTCCACATCAATCTGTGCCATTGTGAGCAAAGCAAAGGCACATTCAGTTGGGTTTTGCTCAATTGGAACAGCAAGAAGGATCTGAGCATGGATATCGCGGGCCTCAACATATTCTGATTTCAGCAGGTGGACTTCTGCTTGGCTATGGAGGAGAGAATTATCTAGTTGACCCCCAGACAGACCACAGAGACCAAGTAGTTCTCTTGCTCTTTGGGCCAGGAGGATGCTTTGATTATAGTTTCCTAGTGTACACCAGCATACAGACTCTAGGTGCAGTGCATTGGCCTCTGCGAATAAGTTCCCTGAAATCCTGGCCAGTCTCCGTGACTCATAAGCATGTCGCTGGCCTGCTGAACAATTGCCAGTTCGCCACTTTATCCATGCCAAGTGAATCAATATATAAGCCTGTATTCTGATGTTCCCAGTTGAAATTGACAATGAGAGCCCATTCTGAGCAAGGGAGGTAGCTCTTGGACTATCATGGATACCTGTGTAATATTGTGCCAAAAGAATAAAACACCGGCCTGCTGGCACTGTCAGTAATTGTACAATAATATCAAATATGCCACCCACATTCAAGGTCAGGATCATCAAAATGCGAGAAATAGTCAAGAACTTGGTCCACTATTTTTTGCCTATTAGGAACCAGGTGGTGCATATATCCTGCTATGACCGTCATCTCAAAAAAGACCTCCACTCGATGGTCCCGGGGGTGGGGAAGAACCTTGGGAATCTGGTGTATTAATTGACTAAGGCCCCGTCCAGTCTGTCTACTGAGACGATCAAAATGACATGTGCTATATATTGTTTTCACAAGGTCCGGATTATCTGGTGTGAGACCCATAACCAAGACATTCTGAATATTGGCAAAGTTTGATGTGATTCGAGCTACAATCCCAGGACTTGAAGCAGTCCCATGATAAGTCTCAAAGACCTCAAGGAGCTCACTAAAGTGTTTACAAAGAGCTTGGACCATGGGTGTTAAGGGGGGGTGCATTTTCTGCATGTATTCCCGGATTGGCACCAATGCCTTAAGTCATTTCTCATCATCTGTGTAGGCAAGAGAGGTGCAAAGTAAGGCAGATTTGCAGGCCAGGACATTTTCGATTGGGAGTCTGCTTTGTAGGAGGTCTGCATCTGCAACCCCATCAGGCAAAATGGAGAGGAGGCTCAATAAATCACGAGCATGGGGCACAGATGCCAGGCGAGGGCTTTGCAGAGATATGGAAATTGACAAGTCCAGATTTGATCCTTTGTTGGGGCCTTCTGAGAGTAGGGAGGTCCTCTCTGTCTCCCAGTGTTGCATCACACTGTCAAAGCCATCATAGTCCACTAAGTGGGCCATAAGGTCAATTGCCAGTGGCATGTTGTCAGCAAGGAGGAGGATTTTGTCAATGTCTTCAACAGCATAACCATCATCCACAATATCAATGAAGGTTTTTCGAGCAGCATCCTGTGCCAGAGGTTGGAGCAGTTGTAGAAATGGATGTGTCCACCGGACACTGGCAGGCCTTTCTGCCCCACGCATTGTGATCTGAAATAAGGGTCTTAGTATACAAGTAACAAACTCAGGTTTGGCCTTACAATCAATGTGAGATGTTCAATATCTTCAAGTAATGCCAAGAGCTTTTCAACATCGGCACGAGATTCCTTTGGCTCCCACACAGTCTCCAAATTGTCCAAGATCAACAGGGAAGGGGGACCATTAGAGAAATACCGAATGACTGGTTTAGTGAGATCTTGACCCGGTGGCAGTCCAACATGTGCTCCAATTAAAGCAGCAAGATGAACACTGCTTGATGCTGCATCACAGGCAACAAAGAAGCGATGCTTCTCATATTTTGTAGATATTTTGGGGTGATGCAGAACAGCTCTTGCAAGGCTTGTTTTCCCCATTCCACCTCCACCCAAAATTGCAACTCTGGGAATCTGCTGATTCAGCTGCTGGAGGATGATTGACACTTCGGATTCATGGCCATGGAAGATTTTTGGTTCGGATGGCAGTAATGAAAATGAGTTTGAGCTTCGGGTGATCATTATACAACACAAAGTATTTAATGTAATCACATACCTGTTCTGAGAGCTTGAAAGGACTCTGCTTATCTATTTCAAAATCAGTTACTGTGCAGTTTACATGATTTAACTCCAGACATACAGAGGATCCACTTTCTGAACCTGAGAGAGCTGAGAGCAGCTCCAGAACTTCCTTGTGTGTCTTCTGTGCATGTTCTTGTATTTCCACCATATCACTCAGCACTTTAGCACCCTGAATCTGAAGTGTGGCTTTTGTTAAAAATCACACTGCCACCAACAACAATGAACTTACTTCGAACACCTTTAGAGCCTGTTCCAGTCCTGTATGACAGGCCTTCAGCAATGCCTTCATCTCGCCTTGACGGAAAAACTGCTTGATTTTGCTTTTCTCCTGCTCAGCTTCAATGAAAGTGTGGATCTTGTGCAGGGTCCTGGTGAACTCAGAAGTGAGAAACAGTAATTTCCCAGTATAATGAGAGGAACTTGCTCAGTGAATTTCCCCAGATTGTCCAACATCAAGGGGGATAATTCACCACCAGAATCGGACTTTGCATGAACCCATATGATAGCATACAGGAGCTCATGGACCTGCTCTAGCATCTGAGCACAGTCATCTTGGTTTCTCTTGACAGTCTGACAGGTCTTTGTAAACACCAAGAGGACAGATTGATCACAGAAAATTACCTGTACAGCAGTCAGCAGAGAGTGCATGGTTTTTGAGATGGGTTGCAAGAATGCTGTCTTCAAGCCTTCTGTCACCACATCCAAAGTGGTGACAGCAGTACTCAGGGAGGCAACAATGTTGTTGAGTCGAATCTGTGCAGCAGTGGGTGGGAGGGGCATTCTTGTCATGATCGAGGCTACTGAACAGTGTCCACCTTTATGTCAGTTCCTGTGAGAGATTCCATTCTCATTGGGTGGCAATTTGGGTCTCGCATCTTTCCCTGATGAACCAACAGCAGATCAATCTAGATGCAGATCGGCATGTCATAACGTCTGTCCTCCTGCACTTCCCTAGGGAGCCAGCCAAGAAGAGTTGAAGACATGACACATATACTTGAGTACAGAGTCTTTGTGGAATGCACAATTACAAGTCCTTTATCTATAAAGGGCCGTTATTTTTGGTGATTTTTGCCCGCCAAATGACCCCCCCTACGTATGGCTTCGTGTGGGAGTCTCAATACCTTTTTTAGTTTCATTGCATGCCCTTTTGTAGTTACATTGCATTCTATTGAGCTATATTGCTTTGCTTGACTTGTGTGGCGCTTGATGTGGGTGATGCCGTCGATGATGTTGATGTATGTCATGCCCTCTGGCAGAGGCGCTCGAATCACCTGATTGCTCAGAGAGCTTTCATGTGATGGTGTTGTCACGAGATTTGGCTTAAATCGTGACAACGCAAGGAGTTTGAATCTTTTGATGGCCCCTGCTCTTGCCTCAAATGAGGTTGGATAGTAAAATCTACAGCAGAGCAATTGTTCTGAGTGCTTATTACTTGAATTTTGTCTCTTCAGGTTATTTTCAAATGACCTGAAATGAGTGGTCTCCTCTAAATGATCTATATGAGCTTATGTTCCAATATACATCAAGGACCCAGTGGTGAAGTGGTATAGCATCCGGTTTATCTCAGTGAGACAATCTCGGAGTTTCTGCGGAAAGCACCCGTTTGATTCGGGTCTGGGTCATCCCTTTTTCCTGCTTATGTTTTTTTTTCTTCTTTTTGGTACACAGTTCCTCACAGGTCTCTAGTCAATAGCAATCTAGTATACACCAAAGACCCAGTGGCGAAGTGGTATCGCGTCCGCTTAGATCTTCCGCGGAAGACACCCGTTCGATTCGGGCCTGGGTCATATAGGGATAACGGTCTTTTTTTCTCGTTTTTTAAGTTCCCGTTTTTTCTCTCGCAATTTGGTATCAGCCAAGTTAGAAGAAAAACTGAGAAATCCGACAAGGCGCAGAGGCGAACGGTCAGCTGCAGGTCCGGGGTCACTTATGTATGTAAGGCACGCCAGGGATAAAAATTGGGTTACATTCCTCCAGTACTATGTAGCGCCACAGAGAAAATCAACGCACGGACGCAGGGTGGAATGCGCTCACTAGATAGTCTCGAACGAGTTATTAGATCCTCTTTCTAAGCAGACCTTCCACGGTATCGATGCAAGTGAGCTCGCGCTGTATTAATGCAAGTTCTATTGTACTGGGGGATGCCCTGCGAGCGTGGGCACCGTTGTCTCAGAAGCGACGGATGCCAGGGGAGGAGAGGGGGTACGACGAAGGTGGGGAAGGCGGGTACCTGGCGAGCGAAGCCCGCTCCACTCCGGTCGGCGGTGAAAGCGGGATTCAGATGGAATGCAGCGCACATTGCGGAGCCCGCTCAACGGTGCACGTCGTGAACAAAGCGAGGCGAAGCGTGCGCGTTCCATTACACTCCACTCCTCCACTCCCCACTCTGCCAATCCCCATTGCGGTCACAAGAACGGGCGCGCCTAGACCGGAAGAGCGCAGAGAGAGCGCCGGCGCTGAATATGCGCTCAAACGAAGGCACAGTGGGGACGGGGTCCAACGATCGAAGTGGAGGTGGAAGGGGAGGAGAGAGGAGGGAACGAGTAAGAAAGGGAATGAAGGGAGGGCATCGAGGGAGGGGTGCTGCACCCCGCCTCCGGCCATCAGAACATAGAACGCGGGCGCAACTGGACGAGACGAGAGCAGCGCCGAAGCGCCAGGTCTGCGCTCGAACGAATACGAAGCGGTACGGGCTGCAACGAGCACGAATACAGAGTGGAAAAGGAAGGATGGGAGGAAACAGACGGAAGGGAACAAGTAAGGGGAACGAGCAAGAAGGGAAGGAGGGGAGCCGAGCGAAGGCGCTCCACTCCGCCCACGAAGAAAAGCGGAATGTGCTCGCGAGGCCCGCCCCCGCGATGTGCTGTGAGGCCCGCCTCCGGCGCTCGCGAAGAACCGACAGTGCGAAGAAACGGAAGAAAGCAAAAGGACGGGTGAGACAGAGGGAAGGCAAGGGTGCGCGCCAGCGAGGGCAGCGCGGTGAGGAAGGAAAGAACCGGAGGGAAGGGAAAGGGACGCACCTATCAGCTGGCGCGGGTGCCAGTGCACGCACGCACGTCACGGTCCCTTGGGCCCCAGCAGTGGATGCCGCACTCGCCACACGCGCGCGCCGTCTCCTAGCCCTTGCGCCCGGCAGCGTGTGGAGCACGCGCGGTCTCGGCGTCCCGTGGTCCGCGCCGCCACGCGTGAGAAGGAGGGAGGGAAGCAGCTCGTGCTGATCGTGCTCCACTGTGAGCACTGCGGGGCGGCCATTCGACATCCGGGCGAAGCTCGCTCCGTCCTTGCCCGTGACCTCGTCCGACGCGGGTTCCAGGAAGAGGCGCATGCCGACGCCGTGCTTGGATACACACGAAGACAAACGGGGCGGTGGCTGCACCGTCCAGACGAGCCTTTTGCTTTGAGGACACCACGATCTGTTTCTGCGAAGAGGGCGGGGGTGTCCCATGCGCCCGCCTGATGACCGCGCCCGACGTAGATCTAGAGGGCGGGCTTGGTCGTTTGGACATTTTGATTTGAATTGGGCGAGGGAGGGTAAACAGAGGTACATAGGATGCACCGCTTTCTGCCAGCGGGTAGATAAACGATTGGAAGGACGTAAAAGGAACCCGTACCGCTGGTAAAACCAACCCATCTCAAAGACTGCTCGCTCCGAAGAGCCGATACGAAATCGGAAGATTGATCCCGCGAACGGGACAAGGGAGGAAAAAATTGGGTAAAAACCACGACGGCCACAGAGTAATCTGAGTTGGGTTACGCGGCATGCGCCCGGTGGCCAGCCGGGAGCCGTCGCGCGCCGCGAATTACACTGAAGGGAGATGCGTGCATGCCGTGCCGTCCGAAATCTTCCGCGCTTCTCGTACGCCGCGCCTCACAACGCCGCCCGCCAGATGCGATTGCCGCTGCCGAGTTGCACCGACTTCATACGGGGGCAAACCCGCATCCATCGGCGGGTATTAGCCCGACAGGCAGCAACGCATGTATAGTTTTGAAGAAGGCACGATCCAGGTGAAAATCCAGTGGGCGGGAATCCAGAAGGCCATATCGCGGTCTACAACGAAGCGGCGGCTGGAGAAGGACGAAATTCCTGCCGCGCTCGGAGCCCATGGCGTGGGTCCATACGATGTCGGATGCGATGAGAGATCGTCTTGACACGCCGGCTACGACGAATCCGCGGCAGGAGAGGATGCAGGTCCCACCGGGATCGGAGCTCATGGCGGAGGTCGGGTCCAAGCCGGGGTGGGGGGGCACCCGGGCGGGCGGGAAGCGCGTAAGTGAGGCGGGAGCGAAGCCCGACGCCAGGCGGCGGGAGCGTTCCGACGGGAAAGCCACAAAGGAAGCCCGCCGCCCGCCTGGTCACTCGCGCACGGCGAGTGATAAGTTTGACGCCGGTAAAGCGCGGAAGAAAGATGGCTAGCAGCGCATTTCCCAAATAGTCCCCCGATGCTTGAAAACCACTTCTAGCGTATTATCCCTCCCTCCTGACAATAGGAGTTCCTTGGGCCAGCGCACGAGGTGTTTCTTGAGCGTCGTTTGGCTGGGTTAGAACCACATCCAGTGAAGAGTTTGATGGCTCAGATGTTCCTGCTCGAGGTTGGACAGAAGTCCTGTGCGTAACGAGCGTCGCGGCCTTGTGGCCGTCGTGGTCATGAGCAAGTTGTGGGCAAGCCACATTTCTGCGCTTGGTCGTGTTTGTCTCAGCACTGCCACCGTATGTGACTCTGCTCTGAGGGGATAATTTCCTGTGCGGGTTCTCCGACATCTACACCACATTTTCTTGAAGTCCGAATTTCCTGCGACTAACCCAAATAATTCGCAGGGGTCACAACCTAGTCCACTCCGCTGGTTTGTCTGCATCCCCATTACCGACATTGGCATGTTATCTCAGGGAAGATCCTTGAAAGATAGTCCGCTGTCCAAATAGTCTAACGGAGTCAACTGGAACTCTCAGTGCATCGTGTTTCGAAGATCTCAATATTGATCCATGCTGGACCTAAGGAATTTGCTTCAGGGGGATCCATCACCATGGGCGGGAGAAGGTCGCATACTGAATCCATTGATTCGACTATCTAATGGGACAAAATAACGAGTGAGATGCTCGCCTAGCCCTTCCGTCAGTGCGCGCTCCTCCAAGTGAGCATTCATTGTTCAAATCGCTCCCCGGCGATCTTCAACACGGTGAAGAGTAAACCAATTTCACATAATCGCGAGAATCAGTGAGGTGAGGTGATCAGAGGAATGAAGGAAACACTCAGTAAAACAGGCAAAGTGGGTACCCGGAAACCACACCAGAAATTGCTATGTATGGAGTTCAGCCAAATGCTTGGATGAAGCATGCCGAAACGGCACCCGCGGCCGTGGACCACGTGGTTTTCTGCCGTGGACGCCGGGGACGTCAGAGATTGAGTGCCGTAGAGGTTCAGGCGATTGCCGGATGCCGAGGTTCGGCACTCCGTTATCAAATTCAGATTCAGCCTCAATTTCCTAAAATGATGAATTCTTCCCTCTACAATGTCCGGATTTGGGCGAAACATTGAGCCATGATCAAAGCCGGTTGATGGAAACTTTAACACAATCCAGTCAATCAATTATTGAAGTGGCAATTTACTCTATCGCTGCATCAGTAAAACAACATGTTTGTCTTTCAGATCTTTGTCTTTGAGACGGCTCTTTGGGGATCTTTGTCTTTGAGAATTGCATCTTTGTCTTTGGATCGTATCTTACGAATATCTTTGTCTTAAATTAATAAGCGAAGTTCATACAGTCATCTGGCTCATAATGCATAGGGTCGGTGGACACACAACCCAATGCATTATGAGCATTATGAGCACCCCTGTACAGTGAGACGAGGCCCTCAAAATCCCTATGCATTATGAGCCAGTTGACTGTAGTGCATGTTAGATCTCACACCAGATAAAGCAAAATCTTGACATATGTCAAGATGTTAGCCAAAATTGTATAAATCAGTAACCAAATCGAAATTTGTTGAAAACTGGTCTATTGATTTGGTGTGAAACCACCATGGAAGTAGCCACAATTGGGAGGTGGTTTGAAACCCATAATTTTATGCATTGTCAGCGAATTATGAAAGGACTGCTGAAAGATGAACTTTCAGTAGCTATTTCTGGTGAGAAGAAAGAGGTTCTCTCAGCGGTCCTTTCATAAATTCCTTTGTTCGAACAAAGGAATTTAGGAAAGTCTATTCAAAAGACCCTCTTTCTTCTCACCAGAAATGGCTGCTAAAAGTTCATCTTTCAGCAGTCCTTTCATAACTCGCTGACACTGCATAAATTTATGGGTTTCAAATCACCTCCCGATTGCGGCTACTTCCGCGATGGTTTCACACCAAATCAATAGACCAGTTTTCAACAAATTTCGATTTGGCTACTGATTTATACAATTTCGGCCAACATCTTGACATATGTCAAGATTTTGCTTTATCCGGTGTGTCTGGATAATCGTCCATCGTCCACATTAAAGACCCCGGACCAATTCAGGGCCAAGGGCGGCGGATGGTTGCATATCCCTGTTGCATTTGAATAGTGCAATGCTCTAACCCCATGGAAATTAGGAGATCACACCGAAATAATGAGTAGGGTGCTCACCGATCATAGGACTGCACGACGCGACTTCCCCCAACTTCCGCATGAGCTCCTCAACTTTTGCATCCAACGCGCAGTACTCCAACGTAGAATTCAAATCGCCCGCCAACGACCTATCGCAAAGCACGGCCATTTCCTGAGCATAAAAGCTGTAGGTCGACAGGTAAACCGCCTGTACAAAGAAAAAA